ACAACTGGAGAACTAACCTTGGCAATAGAAATTGAGCAACTCTGCAGAAGAATCATTACAAAGCATTATAAACAGTAGTAATTAGAAATATACAAAATCACCTTTTTAATCAATTATTCTGTTTCATTACCTTACCTGAAAGGTCTCCAACTAGAGTTTTTGCATTTATCTTTCTCTCCGTAAGTTTGTATCAATAACCAAATTTGCAAAAAAGAAAACTACAAATCTTCATTTTAAAATCAGATTCTATCTAATTCTAAAACACACTTGCCTATTAGAAGGGGAACGAGACATGCACAAAAGAATCTTGTGGCAACTCTGGACAAAAACAGTAACTTGTACTGAACTTGAATTTGGAAAAGCTATGAAAATCATAGCTCCTCTTCAACAGCTCAAATATGCTACCAAGAATAGAAAGAAACATCGTTATAGAAGCTCTAAACTTGCAGACTTAATTTTAAAGCAGTTTCATTTCTATTTTTGATAGAAAAATATTTTTATATTCTTCTCTTGCATTCATTTCTTTTCACAGTATCGGTTCAGAGGTGCAGATATGCAGGGAAAAATTAATGAAGTATTTCACTTAAATCTCCAGTGGAATTTCCAATGAAATCAAGACACAAACTAATATTAGACACAAAATGCTGAACAGGCAAAGTTGCTGGCAATAGAAACAGACCTGTCCTTTCATGCTTCACTAGCTACTCATGGAAGACAGGAACGATCCCAATCACTGAAAATGTAAGAACATGCTATGCATAGAACTCCACAAGATATGAACATATCTGGAGTTCCTGGTTCCTTCCAGATGGTAAGAAACATTTTATATCTTGATTCCTGGAATCAAATAGGATGCTTCCAGGTTCTGCTCTGTTACTATGACAATCATATTCCGTCAAATCCATATTCTTCCTTGACATTAAAAACTTTCAAGGCACAGTGCATTAGTATATTCAGTAGATCACTTAAACTCTACATCTGTAATATCCTGACTCCACATGGAAGGCAGGAAATACTATATCACATTCTCCAACATCAGCACAATCTAGATGAGACAACAGAGGTAATGAGTATGTGTGTGGAAAACATTTAAGAACCACTTTTTTCAGATGGTCTTAACTGAAATCCTTATCCTAATTTAATACCTTTCCTGGTTAATATTTGGTGATCATACACAGGCTATATTCAAGAATTTTAAAAAAGACAGATTATACATTAAATTAACACATTAACAAATGTTAAATTAACACATAACCTTTGTATAGCACTTTTAATCCACTAATCAAGTCATTTTTACCTTTATGTTTCATAAGTACAACTTTTCATGCCAGCACCCTTAAACAGAAAAGGTTTAATTTCCATCAGGAAATTCTGGAAGAATAAGCTGTGTTAAAGACAAAAATGAACTATCAGCTTTATTACACGAAAGACAGTATGAAGAAACCGATCAATTTTCTGTGAGGAAGACTCACTAATCTGATTCCCTCTTCGCTGTTTTCAGCAAATGTAAGTTATTGATTTGTAATGCCGCCTTAAGATCTTCTGCATCAGCAACAGCTTACCAACTTAATTTGAGATCTGATGAAGAACCATACAGGGTGCACAGAACTGTGGAATTAACGCAAGTCTTACCCTAATAATGCCATGCTAGCAGCTATATTCCTCCACTACTACTGCACAGCATGGGGCCTTCTAACCATTGTAGGCCTAGGCATTGATATTACATAACCTGACACATAAGGTCTAAATCATCAGTCTAGAAAAAGTAGAGAAACTTGCAGGCAACGGCAAACATTTTGAATAAGTACTGCTGTAAAATTTGTTAAGGTCTCAGGAAGGAGAAAGAAGGAAATTTTAAAACATCAGTTTGATCTACAGTTAATTACATTTTAAATGCAGAATAAAGACCACGTTACTGTAAAGATATTATGTGTCACAGAACTAAAATTGTTTTAGAGTCTCGATTACATTTCACATCAACCTGCATAGACTTCTGTTTGAATTAATGGTTAACTTCCTGGTTTTACAGCATTTATTTTTGGATAACGTAACATCTCAGTAATAAAAAGCTTTCACATTAATATGGAGCATAAGTAACCTCTATTTTTCCTGCATTATAATAGTTTTAGCTTTATTAGAATTAGCTATTTTAGAACTTTGCAGGGTTAAGAAAGATTTCAGGTACAGTTAACCCAAAAGCTAGTCTATTTCTTTCTCAAGTTTGACTTTTTTATGATCAGCCTTCAAAAATTACATGTCTAAAGAGTGTTTATAACAGAATTACTTTTGCAGTATAAACTCATACCCTACTTTACCCCCTCAGCTTCGCAAACATACCCATCACTTCTCTGCTAATAACCCATTTACCCTAAATTAAGTTTGATTTCCTACTCCACATTTCAGAATAGAGGATCTACTCCTACCACTCACACTTTGTAACAAATACCCTATTTCTGTTTAGCTCAATCCACTCCTAAGCTGTCACAAACATATCTACAATCAAAAAAACCTGTTATTTTTAAATATGGACTTACTACAGAAATAGCATCTATGGCAGATAGTTTTATGCTGAATTACTTCCTTTATTAACAAATCTGGATACACTCAATATAATTATACTCTAACTCACAGAGCCACTATCCTGGTCTATTAAGTATGTCCCACAAAGAAAGTTAGAAGCCAGTATGCCGTAACACCCTAAGCTTAGGTAATCACACCTAAGCTGGTATGATTGCATACCAGCTTGCTAAGGTACACAGGTTGTACAACTGCTACCTATTCATATAAGAGCAAACATTAAGAAACAATGCCAACCTTTACAACCTTCTGGCTACGAGCCAGAACCACACACATCCTCAGAGCTATGTGCTGGAACGAGACACAAAGACAGACAGACAAACAGGAAGGAAGAAAGCAAGCAAGCAATCTTGGAAAAGCTTCAGTAGCAAGCATACCCTCATCCCCTCATCCTCTGCACCGAGGTTCCAACTGTGAAACCAAGAAGCCAGCGAGCAATACCACCAGTTCCCAGGGGAGCGCCTGCGCCCCGGCGCGAGCCTCCCCACCACGCAGCTTCCCCTCCTAACACGGCACACAGGAAACGGCGGCGACCCCCGGCCCAGCCCCGTTCCCTATCGGGGCCGCGCAACCCGAGTCATCGGCATCGACGAAGGTGCCCGCTGCTGCTAGGCAAAGGCCGGAGACCTGCCCCGAGCGCGCAGGCCAGGCTGCGGACCCGCCAGGTCGCGCCCCTTCTGCCTCGGCGGAGGCCCGCGGGCCGGGGTCCTGGGCCGTTCCAGACTCGAGCAAAAGCTCGGGTCACTACAAACAGCGATAGCCTAGCAGGAGCCGACACCGCAGCGCTCACCGGCTGGGGCTTTGGCGCAGGGCCAGGGGTGGGAGAGCAGGAGCCCCAAACACTACTTACGGGCTCCAGCCTACTCCCCAGCAGGGCAGTGACAGTCACGCAGCGCGCAAGCGCCACGGTCACCCAGGGGCACAAGACCCGGCGCGCAAGCGCAGAAGAAAGCTCATCGCTTACCCACGACTAGTGGCTAGTGCGCATGCGGGCTAGACTTACCACTTCACCTGTTAGGGCAGCGGTCTGCGCCTGCGCGGGCTCGGAAATGGGGCGGGAAGGGGATGTTCACGCTTCTAAAAAGCCTACTCTAGGAGGGAGGTACCGCCTCTGGCTCTGTAGTGACGGTGGAGTGGCTTTCCTTGTTCTTGCTAAATAGACTCCATCTC